CTCCTGCAGTGGCTGCATTTTTGCTATTGTCCCAGTACCGTCAGGCAGCAGTATTTGAAATATCATCTCCTTCCCCTTTCTCTCTAGCTGCTTGTGCTTTCCTCCTCCTGCGAATCCCTGGATTGTCTCATTCTGCTGGTCATGGAGGAGTGCAGCTCAGATGCCCCTGTAACTAGAAGAAAAGCATACTTGATGGACAGATTCACCTGGTGCTGGAAGATGCTCCTTCCCCCAGATAGCTCTAAGCCAGCCATAGGCATTCTAGAACCAATTCGTTTCTACCAACACCGATCTCTTCCCAGAGTCAGTTGTAGCTCGGAGATAATCCATCCAATTGCTGAGTCATTGCTAGAACCATGCTCTCACTGTCAATCCTGGCCTGAGACTCTCCCTGTCAACCCTTCCTTCCTTGGCTGTTTGCACAGGTGCCTGGTCAGTTTGACTCTCTGAAGGCTCCCATTGCCCATCCCTGATCCTGCTGCACTTCCTACCCTTCCCAGGTGTCTCCCCCAATGAATCTCTAGCATGCCTAATTCTACCTTTCACTGAAGGTGTCAAGGACTTCATCTTGCTTGGATCCACATGCAATACTCATGGAAGCACCAGTCAAAAGATCAAACAATGGGCTACATTGGGTAAATCTGCTGCACAAAACCTCTTTCAAGTGTTGAAGAATAAGGATGTCCCTTTGAGGATAGAAGTGTGCCTGATGCAAGTCATGGTATTTTCAATCACCTCATGCATGTGAAAGTTGGACATTGAATAAAAAAGATTAAAGAATAATTGGTGTATTTGAATTAGGGTACTAGAGAAGAATACGGAAAGTACCATGGACTGCCAAAAAAGACAAATCTATCCTGGAAGACATACAGCCAGAATGTGTCTTAGAGGCAAAGAGGACAAGCCTTTCTCTCACGGGCTTTGGACATGTCAAGCGAGACCAGTCCCCAAAGAGGAACATTATGCTTGTCGCGGGGCAGTGGAAAAGGATCGACACAGTGGCTACAACAATTGACTCAAGTGCAGGAATAAGTGTGAGGACGGCGCAGGACCGCACAGTGTTCCCTTCTGTTGTGCATAGGGTAGCTGTGGGTCGTAGCTGATTGGATGGCACCTAACAACAATTTGAACTTTGAGCCTTGGTGGTGGAATGGGCTTTTCATTTGACTGCTAACTTCAAGGTAGGTAGTTCAAAACCACCAGTCACTCTGTGGAGAAAGATAAGGTTTTCTACAACAGCAACAGTTTACAGTCTTGGAAACCCATAAGAGCAGTTCTACTGTGCCCTATAGTGTTGCTATGAGTCCAAATCAGCTCAATGGCCATAAGTCTGGTCTTTTGGAATTCTACCTTGCTGTGAACTAATACTCTTTGGCTCTTCGGATATCTCAACATCTTCCTAACCAAGTTCCCTGTATGAAATCCCCTCCTGTGAACCACCAAGGAGCCCTGGTGGTGCAGAAACATGGGGCTTCTAAAAAAGGGCAGCCAGTCAAACCGTTAGGCTGTCTGCTCCCATGAATAATGTGCCCTATGGCGAAATCCTACTCTGTCCTCTAGGGTCGCTATGAACCAGAATTGACTCCTGGCAATGGATGACTGAACCCCATGGTGGCCCAATGGTTAAGGGGTTGGTCGACGACCCAGAGGCTGGCCTTTAGAACCCACTTGGCAGCTCTGCAGGAAGAAGACCTGGAGACCCTCTGCTGTGGGGCTGGTCCAACGTTGTCTCCTGAGTCCGAATCAACTTAGTGGCGCAGAGCAACAACCTCACCCACTTGGCACACCCTCCTTTGGGCTGACTTTTGGTTGACTATATTCATTTCCAACTAGACTCTGGTTAATGTAGAGCCCTATTTGTGTCGAGGAGATCCTTGGAATATGAATGATGTGGAAGTTCCTCATCTCTTCCTCAGCCACAGCATTTTGCTTGCTGGCTACAGCAGTGGGGATCACCAGGCAGCTGCCTTGTGGCACATGCAGGCTGCTCCCAGGCAGACTCCCTCCCTTGTTTGTAGCCAGAGTCCAGCACACCCTGGTGAAATCTTAATGCCAATCAGAGTGCCTAGGGATGGTGCTCTGTGAAGTTCTGGAAACCACAAGCACAGCCTCCAGGATTTACTGCCCCTGAGTCTCGCAAATGGGCCAGAAACAGCAAAGGGTTCACTTGGCCTCATGGGGTCAGGGGCTATTTATAAACAGCTCGTACTGAGTTTCAGATGTGAATTGTGTGTCCCACTGGCTGGCCAGGCGCAGGGGGTTGACTTGATTGTCTTTTTATTCCTCTTTCTCGCTGGAAACCCAATCGATTGGGACTAATTTGCAAGCTGCCTGTTTTCAGCAGGTGCAGGCTCTAAGACTGCTGTTCATGTAGCTGTTTGTTCTACTCTGAACCCTGACCTCCTTGGGAAATGAAAAGAGCTTTTCAAAACAACTCCAAAAACAAGCTGTGTGTATGAGGGGAGCCTGCTTAAACATATAACCACAGTTTCCGTTGCCACCACCTTTGTGTTTCAAGACAGTATTTTGTCAATGATGTCTGGGTTAGAGCCCCGCATTTTCCCCGAGCTTTGGAAGTCAGAGAAGGATAATAGTAAACAGTTGGCCTTGCCCGTGTGGATGCGTCCTTGCCAACACAGATGCCTTTTTCTTCCCCATCCAAACCTTCCAACCACAGGGTTTGGTAGACAGTTCTGCCATGTACTCATTTGGTATCTGAGTTCCCATTTCCATATCTTGGAAATGAGAATGGTAATGATGACTGACGTTTCCACTTCTACCGGCATGTTACAAGATTCAAATCCCAAGCAAAATCATATATGTAAATGTTGTATTAATATATGCAAAATCATATATGTAAATAGTGCTGCCCAAGTGAAAACCAGTTTGGTGGTGAAGTGGTGTGGGAGAAAAGTCGAGGAGGTGGGAGCTGCAGAATCAGGAAGATCCAGATCCAAATCCCAGCTGCCACTGCTTAGCCACCATGTGACTTTGGCCAAGTTCCCTCAACTTCTCAAATTCTCAAGTTCATCTAAAAATGAGGATGGCTCATTTTCAGCTGGAAGGATGAACCGACCACCATACCTGTCTCTCATACTGTTCCTATGTGATCCATGTTAACTTACTTCTTAATCCATACGATTGAAATACTATCCAGGCTGCCATCTTACTGGAATCTGAAATCTTTGATCAGTGCACTTGTAAGGTATCATTCTGTTATGAACACTAAACACTATCTTTATCAATTGAGGAATTAATGACAGGAGTAAGTTGTGAAGGAACTATGGAAGGCAACAAAGGGATCAATAGTCTTGCTTAAATAGATGTTTAAGGCAGACTTTAACATAATTACATAAGCATGAATATATTTAGGGAGACTGTGTGCCTGTGTGTATGCATACAGAATATATCATTTATTTTTTCAATTTAATTTTCCAGTTTTGACCCTTCCAGAGAAACTACAACCAAACTACCAAAAACAAACAGCAGAGCATGCAGACCCTGGATGTGATCCAGGAGGCAGGCACTCAAACAGAATAAGGGAACGGTATGTGGTGTAAAGTCAGGAAAGGTGTGTATCAGGATTGTATCCTCTCACCATACTTATTCAATCTGTATGCTGAGAAAATAATCCAAGAAGCTGGACTATATGAAGGAAAACATGCGTCAAGGTTGGAGCAAGACTGATCAACAACCTTCTATATACAGATGATACAATCGTGCTTGCCTAAAGCAAGGATAACTTGAAGCACATGCTGATGAAGGTCAAGGGCTGGAGCCTTTGATACAGGTTACGGCTTAATGTAAAGAAAATATCCTCCCAACAGGACAAATAGATATGATTGTGATAAATAGAGAAATGACTAAAGTTATCAAACATTTAATCTTGCTTGGATCTATAATTAATGCTCATGGAAACAGAAGTCAAGAAATCAAACAACATATTATATTGGATAAATCTGCTGTACAAGACCTCTTTAAAGTTTTAAAGGATTTCACTTTGAGGACTAAGGTATGCCTCATGTAAGCCATGGTATTTTCAATCTCCTCATATGCATGTGAAAGTTGGACATTGAATAAGGAAGGCAGAAGGATAATTGGTGCATTTG